ATTTCTCTTCTTGCGGTATTAACCCACATATTCGCAACATCAAATATTTCTTATCATCATAAAGATTTTTAATAAAAATTATAGCGGGAGAAATATCTCTTTCGGTAGCTCAAACTTTTCTCATACCACTTTATTATGGTGGGTCATAAAGTGCAAATGACTGGTTTTATTTTCCGAAAACTTAAAAAATTGCTATCACGTTATTCGAGAGTAATATCTTTTTTGTCGATTATGTAGGTAATAAACTTAATTACAAATTTAATGCAATCTATAATTAAACAAGTAAGTGGTTGTAATAAGATTCCGAAGTCAATAAAATAGGATCATAGGTTTTACGTATTTCAAATCCACTATTACTAGCCCAGTCTGGTTATGCAAAAATCATCGATTTCACGGCAAAATTTTTTCGCAGATATCTGAAGCTTTTAAAACATATGTGGGGGTTACTAAATGACGAATGGATGAAAAGGTACTCGTATTTTTACCTTACGTTTGTTTTTAAACAATAATTTATGGTCACAATTTGATTTTTTTTATATAAATTTTTTCCCTTATCTATATTTTACATAAACAATATTTATATCATTTTTTTTTATATCAATAACATCTTTATTTTCCCGTTTTTTTTTTTTAATTAAAATTGATAAATAATTTACGGAGATATTTGCAAAAAAAGCAGTTTTTTGCAATAATTTATACATTTTATTAATTTTTTTATTAACAAATAAAATGTTATTAATACATTCAAACATCGAGGAATTGCCGTCTTTTAAATTTGTGCGAAATTTCCCCCCGATCGGTCAAATAGTTTAAAAGTTATTTAATTTTTAGATTATTTAATTTATTCCAGAGGCTAAATATTTAAAATATCGAACTTGCTCTATTAATGATGCTAGGCACATTTAGCAAATTTCATAGGATTCTTTGCAAGATTCATGCAAGAACAAGCCTGAAACTCAACAACAGATAGCACTGGATAAACTGAAAGACCCAGTGATACAAGCAAAAATAAGCAATGAAATAAACGCACAAATTCAAATATTAACGACAAACATTACCGAAGATATAACACCAACATGGAATACGATTACAAGTGCTGTAACAGACATCATGAAAAAGAACTTAGGGTACAAACGAAATAACAAGAAGCAAAAATGGATGACAGAAGAAATACTATTACTAATGGAAGAACGACGAAGACACAAGAATAACCAAGATGGCAGCAATATGTATGAAAACATTAACAGGCAAATAAAAGCAAAAATAAGAATAGCAAAAAATGAATGGCTTAAGCAACAATGTATCGATCTAGAACATTTACAAAGACAACACGACGACCGTAATTTACATAAAAAGCTTAAGGAGACTGCTGGAATATACAGAAAACGAAGACCAACTACCATAGTTAATCAGGATAACCAGATAGTGCTGGGTGAAAAGGAGAAAATTGATATATGGGAAAATTATATCCAGGAGCTCTTCCATGACGAAAGACCCATGAGTGAAGTTTATACAGACGACCAGCTGACTGGCCCTTCAATCACCAAAGAGGAGATAGAAAAAGCAATATTAAATTCAAAAAACAATAAGGCACCTGGACCAGATAAGATCCCGTCAGAAATACTCAAATTACTAGATGAAAGGGGAATTTCAGCACTTCACAAAATATTTAATTTAATTTATGAAACTGGCTGCTATCCTCAACAGTGGTTACGCTCTACCTTTATTCCCCTGCCCAAGAAAGTCAATGCAAAAAGATGTGAGGATCACAGACTCATTAGCCTGATGAGTCACACTTTAAAGATATTCTTAAAAATACTACATCAAAGATTATACAAAAAATGTGAAAGGGACATCAGTGATTCCCAGTTCGGGTTTAGGCAAGGTTTAGGAACACGAGAAGCAATAGTAGCAACACAGGTACTGGTCCAAAATTGTTACGATCAGAGGAAGGATGTGTTCCTATGCTTTTTAGATTACAAAAAAGCGTTTGATCGTGTCCAACACCACAAGTTAATGCAGATTCTCAAGAAAGTTGATATAGACCAAAAAGACATAAGATGCATTGAAAACTTGTACTGGCATCAAACGGCACAGCTAAAAATAGACAATTCTATATCTAAGCCCATACATATAAGAAGAGGCGTTCGACAGGGATGTGTGCTTCCCCTCTTTTATTTAACATTTATTCAGAAGCCATATTTCAAGAGTCTTTGGAGGATGCAGAGATGGGAATCAAGGTGAATGGAGTATTGATCAACAACATACGATATGCTGATGATGGTGTCTTAATTTGTGACAACATAGTCGATCTTCAACAACTTGTCACTATAATCGGAGAATACAGTGAGCGAATGGGACTAGAGATTAATACCAAAAAGACCAAATTCATGATCATCTCCAGAAACTTGGATGCATTTGAAAACTCCACCATAACACTGAATAGTAAATCCATAGAAAGAGTGAGTAAATTTAAATACCTGGGATCGTGGCTTTTTGAAGACTGGGCATCGGACAGGGAAGTAAAATGTCGCATTGAGCAAGCTCGACAAGCTTTCGTAAAATTCAAGAAGGTACTGACTTGTTCTGAGTTCGATCTTCAACTGAGACTAAGGTTTACTAAGTGCTACGTATGGTCAGTGCTGCTATATGGCGTAGAGGGCTGGACACTCAAAACGAGAGAGCCACATTTCGAAAGCTTCCAATCTGTTTATAAGCTTTCGAAATGTGGCTTTATCGCCGTATCCTAAAAATACCATGGACAGCGAAAATCACAAATATAGATGTCCTTAAAAGAATAAACCAAGAACGCCAACTTTTCGAAACCATCAAGAAAAGGAAAACGGCGTATCTAGGTCACATCATGCGAAATGAAAAATACCAGTTCCTCCAACTTATAATCGAGGGTAAAATTGAAGGCAAGAGAGGAATGGGACGCAAGAAAATGTCCTGGCTCCGAAACATAAGGCAATGGACAGGGATTAACGACATACAATCTCTGATACATATTGCAAGAAATAGAGAGTTAATGGAAAATGTGATCGCTAACATCCATTAGTGGATTTGCATCTGAAGAAGAAGAAGATAGGATTCTTTAAGACTTAAACTATCTCAGAAGTTAAATTTATATTGCGTTTTCATCGAAATTATTTACAACATAAACGTTTGAAAAAGGACTATGTTTTTACTAATAAACAACTGTAATAACTTCTACATTTTTCAAGCTACAGACTTGTACGTACAAAAATTGAATAGCTAGTAAAAAACTCACATTTGAAAAAAAAACCCATGACTAATAGGGACGAAGTTAGGGACTATTTAAAAAAAATCATATCTCCATTATTTATAAACATTAAGAAGTAAAATTTGCACAAATTTTGAATGAAAATCTAAGCTTTATATTGAAACTTATAAAATTCATCCAATTTTTCGAAACTTACAGCCCTTCGAAACGAAGGTACTTTCGAAAGATCGACATAGGGAAGTAGAGGGGATAACTAAAATTGAAACACGTAGAAAAAATTTGCATTATCTCGGCTTCCATTGTAGCTAGAAGCCTCTTTCTTTTAATTTGGGGTAGCTCGTCAAAATATGAATAACTACATAATTTTCACTGGCCGGGTAATATGGGAAACCTCGGAAAATTGAATCCATTCGAAACTCACCGTAAAAACTTACTTTTTTTTTAATTTGGCTGGAATAGTCTGTCGCAGTATTAATAATGATCACATAATTTTCACCTCGTGAAAATCTCGGAAAATCCCGGAAAATCAACATATATATTTACTTCATTTTATATCAATGATGTAATAATACTTATATATTTGAACATTGATGGTATACAAGGCAAATATCAAACACAGTAATTAATTAAATCTTGCCCAAAGTACTGCCAAAGTACTTTCGATCAATAGATCATAGGGGCATTTCGTCAGTTGTGGCCTATCCGACATGAGCAGAATGTCATACATGTAAATTTGGACATAACAATACAATACACAAAGACAAACAAACACTTTAAAATTTTTAAAAATGGAGAAGCTACATGTTATATAAAAGCCGGAGAAAGAATGCTCATTCTGTCAGAATGCTCATGTGAATGGTATGTGTCAAACCAAACCCTGCATGCAGACCTCAACATCCCCTTCATCAATGATGTGATTGCTGACCACTCCAGAAGATACATGAATCGCAGCGCAGACCATCCAAACCATCTCATAGACGAATTATTCAACCCCCCACTGGTTGACAGACATCTAAAAAGACTTTACGGGGTTTTTCCCATTAATTTTTTTTTTTTAAAGACTTTGTCCAGAAGACCTAGCTGCTAGGTAAATTCCCGAGAGTCGTCAATGGACGACACCTGCCACAAGCCAAGAACATACATCATATTTACTTATTACTGTATTGAAGTAGATTGTAAATTAGCAATAAATAAAAAAAAATCATTTATCTTATATATAAGTAACTGCAACATAATTTGCCGTAAAAAGACGAGTACATTTTATTTTATAAATAAAACATTTTATAATTACATACATTTATAAACATACATATACATACAGTACATTTATAAATAAAATGTATCTGCAAGAAGTTTATTATTTTAAAAATTTAATTTTTAATTCTTTTGAAAATTTTGTTTATCCTAAAAAATTGGCTGCGACTTTCCCAACAAATATATGGCCAAACTAAAATTATGCAATAATTAAACACTAGCTTCTTCAGACTATTGAAAGTAAAAAACTTTCCCTATACTCCCAGAAGGAACATTTTATTAGTGTATGTTAACAGATATAGGCAGCTCTCCCTTATTATGGGAATTTGAAATATATTGGAAAAACGGATATGTGACTAAAATAAACGTAAAATGTTAATTATAGCTAGTTCCAATGAAATTCATCACAGTTTGGTAACCAATCATTGACTAAATTTCATTCCTTGAGCATCAAACTTTGTTCCTCTGAATATAAAATAAGAGTTGTTGTTTTGGACTAACCTCAGTTAGGACACTAATAGATTATCCAAATAGCAAAACTTGTTTATTAATTAAATATTTAAAAAATTACTTACCTTTTTCGTTCTTTTAGGTTTCGGTTTGACCTTAGCACCACTAGTTTTGACTCCACTAGACACTGGAACATCCTTCTTGACATTCTTCACGACTTTCTCCTCTTTCTTTTCAGCAACTCTGGCTCTCGTCCTCAGCGGCATCCTCCTAGTTTCCCTAACATTTTTAACATTATCTTTAACTGGAGATACAACTTTAGCCTCATTTTTAACTTCAACCTTTTTATTCTTATCACTCTTTTCAGACTCACTGTCTGAATCACTTGAAGGGCCACTGTCTGAACTGGACGAAGTTGATTTGCTAGTTGTTTTGGATTGTTCGCTTTGTTTGTTCATACTTTTGTCACCTGTAGGACTCTGCTTTCTAATAGTTAAACACAGACCTGTTTGCGAACTGGTGACTGAAAATTCCGGACTTGGACTGCTGTGTCCACTGCGTGAAGATGATCCTTGACTTGAAGTAGAAGTGTCTTCTGAATCTGAAGAGTCTGATTGACTACATGTTTGTGAGGCATCAGTGGAATTCTAAAAAAAGCTTTGTTTAATTTTTGTAAAATCATCTAAGATCTAAAGTTAATTGTCTACAGCTGGAGGTACTGAAGTATCATAAAATAAGAACCCACGTCAGAAATGTTTCTTGTAAGTCCAGAATTTCCTCAGATCAGAACAAAACTCTATAAAAATAGTTAGAATTCAATATCATATCTGCTCCATCTACATTTTAATAATCTATCTCAAGTGAGAATTCCTATTGACAGCCTGCACCAGTGATCATCCAGAAATTAGTTAAATTTTAAAAATTAGTAAAGTAAATCTATAAGAAAGAATATTTTCCCAGTGTCCAGTATTAGGCCATTAATTTTTCACACATTAAAACAATTCCATCTAATTGTCAAATTTTTGGTTGTTAACAGGAGAAGTTTCAAATATGTCGTAAATTATCTAATAATGCATTTAAAAAATAGTAAGTTGATGTTCTTAAATTGTAAGTACATTAACATAATATTGTTATTGTTGAAATATTTTGTATGAGCAGTACAAGAAATAAGGAAATTAGAGTGACATGTATAGTCGATAATAAACTGAAACACCTCATTGACACAAAGGCAAGTTAGGAACTAAAAAAAATACATCGGAATAATTGGGAAGCATAGCCTACATAGAGACATGAATGAAAACAGCCAATATCTTTTGAACTTTTTCCCCTTTAGGGCATTTTCGTCAAAAACTTGGCTATTCAGCACACATTTAGGGATGTCATAAACATTTAAATACACTTACACAAATATCGAACACCAGACAAAAGGACAGTTTCTCACAGCGAAAGTACTTGGACAAGATTTAATAAAAGAACTGTGCTCGGTATCTGTCTTTTATTTGTTAAATTCATTTATTCAATCATTCAACCATATCTTATTGACTTTGCAGCAAGGGAAACGTGATCATCAGTTCTACCATATTGCCCCACAAAAATATACACAAAGGCACCTGGATATTCCCTGGAGATGTTGTGTAACAAAATAGACCACATCCTGATAGAAAAACAATCAGCAACAAGCATTCTGGACGCAAAAAGTAGACACAAGTGCATGTTGCCGCTCAGTCCATGTCCTACTTCAGGTACAATTAAGATGTAGGATCAGCCTACAGGCAAGAGAATCAACCATGAAAGAAAATTCTAGATATGGGAAAACTGAAAAGAACCGAAACTCAAAAGAAATTTAAAGAAGAAACAAAGAGAAAGGTGACTAAATATGAAGAAAATGAAGAGAGATCATTAGAAGAACAGTGAAACCTAATAAGTAGAACCACATTAACGGCAGCAAAATCGATGTTAGGAATTAAAGAAAGGAAAGGTTGAAGGATGACCAATGGTTTGATAATGAGTGTGAGGTGGGAGGAATTGAGAACCGAAATGAAGTACATAATAATATATCTGATAAGACGAACTAGAGAAAGAAAATGGTATTTAAAAATAAAAGATGAATAGCTGATAAACTGTGTAGACAAAAAAAAAAAAAGAAAACACATAAACAAATAATTAATAGACATGGAAATAAACTTAAGGCAAGACAAAACACGACATACATATAAATTGATCAAACAAATAAACCGAGGACATAAACCAAAAACTTAAAATAAACAAATGAACTCATGGCTAATCTGAAGTTTTGCCTATAAAAATGATTTTTAATGATTAACTTAATAATGATTTTTATAAGCAAAACTTCAATTAGCCATGGACTCATCCTTATCTACATTATTAGCAGATATATTAATGAAAGATTTTGAACATAGCATTGTACACAAACACGAAAAATATGGTGGAGATATATGGATGATGTGTTCTCCATTTGGCATCATAGAGCATTGTATAAATTACTGATGGATATCAACAATAAAGCAGACTCCATCAAATTCACCATGGGAAAAGAAAACAATGGTTCACTTCCTTTTCAGGACGTGCTAATCACAAAAGAGTATACAGGATACATAACCAAAGTTTACAAAAACCAACCCACACCAACAGATATTTAAACTACCACTCAAACCATGCCTGATAACGCCCAAAACACCTGCTCAAATGAAAAGGCTTTTCAAGAAGAAAAAGCTGAAAAGATAGAAAAAAGAAAGCAACAAAACACAGCAGGTAATCCAGAAACACAAAAACGGATAAGCATGGCAACAATATGGTATGTAAAGAGCTTATCAGAAAAATTAAAAAGGATAGGAAACAAGAACAACATTTAAATCAATAAATACACTTAGATCTATCCTGTTCAAAATCAAACCTAACAATATACAAGAGAGATCAAAGAACTGCATCTAAAAAATACTCAGTGAATGAACCAACTTCTATGTGGGAGAAACCGCAAGACCGCTAAGTGTGAGGATAAACAAACATGAAACATACATCAAAATCAGGGACTTTGACAGATCACAGAAATACAAACATGCCGGGGACAATAAGCATACAGTACAATGGAAAAATGCAACAATAGTCATGAAAAAAGCAGACATGAAAAAGGGAAAAATCAAATAAGCAGCCCTTATCCTACTCAATGAAGAAACCCTGTATAGACATCATTCTCTATCACACACAATACATATGCAACACACAACACACGTTCACTAAACATAAACACTCTACACAAATACAAATGTTTACAGCACATTAACAATACCAAACACTTAGAATAATCAGAGTTTGAAATTTCCAAGTGGCAAACATCCACCCTCACATCTTTTCAGCCAAATATGGCTGTTGCCTATAAAACTGTAGCCAAAAGTGAATCAACCTAAAATTTTGTGACATGACATAATCTTGTCAACAATCTTGTCGGTTATACCTACACCGTTTTTCATCAAAAGATATCTAAAGACAAACGAGAATCAGCAGTCAGACATAACAATAAAATTCATTTCTTTTTTTTCATTGGTTGACATTGTGCGGTCTTCCTATTTTGTTAAAAAATAAAAATAAAAGTTTAAAATATCTTGGAACCAGAAACAAGTTTCTACATAATTGATTTATATCAAGAAAGAAGCTGTTTATATAATGTGTCGCATCCACATTATTATAAAAAATCCTTTCAGCCTTTTATTTTCATTGTGGATAAGAAAAATCTGAATCATAAATATAGCACAAGCAACTAATAAATAATATTCTAATTCGATGTAAATAATCAAAAAAGAAAATTAATTTCATGTTATAATATGTCAATTTGATCAAATTTTACTAATCCTGTGACAGGAAGATTTTTAAAATTTGTACAAACTGTTATTATGACGTCATTACGTCAAATTAGTTTGATCAAATATTTGACTGTCTGCACAAACTTACGAGGATACTTTTAAATACTTTCTTGTTAAGCTTTAGCAAAAAATCACTAGATGGGGTTAATGAAGTCTGACATAAAAATATTGCTAGAACTTTAAATTTGTTACAAAATTAACTACTGCATACATATTTACTAAAAAAATTGTGAAAAGTATGCATTAAGAAAAAATATTGTGGAAATGAAATTAAAAGTGAAAGTTTTGTTCAGTAAGTCCATGATAACTGACAATGGCATGGAATTGTTTAGTTGAACTTTTGGTTATTGATTATGGTTTTGGTAACAAATCTTTGAAATGAATCATCACCAAAAATGTTGTCTTTAATTATTGTTTAATAGAATTTTGTTGTAGCAATCCTATCACTAATGAATGTTAAGATTAAAATAAATCAATGGTAAGTTCAAAAAACATTACTACTGGACCAAAGACTGCATAAAATTGTTATTTATTATATATTAAGTAATGTGTGTCAGTACAGTAAGTTTTTAAGCTAATTGACAATGTAAAATTTTGTTTTGAACTTCTTATGGATAATTTAGATCAACTTTTGGAAATAATGATCTACTGAAAATGTATTCAATCATTTCATTCATTCATTCCAGAAATACATTTCAATATATATCGTCGGTGCAATGCCACTCCCACGAATATGCAAAATGAGCATTAGCAGATACCCAACTTTTAAACTTTAAATTAGTTGCCAAAATTCAGGATTTAATGCGACATTTTGTTTGTACTTTTATTAACAAATGTTATGGTTATTTTCGAAAAAAGTTACATTCATGCTTGTGGCATTATAGATTTTGTAATAAAATGTATATAGGTGAAATTATATTGACTTTTATTAGGGTCAAAGTGAAACAAAAAGAACTTTCAAATATTAAAAACTACAGAGATAGAACTAATAATATAGTAAAACACTTCAATCATATTTTAGAATAATTTAATTTTCTTCTGAATCCTCGATTTCATTTGGCTCCGGCAAATTGTCTGTTATATTTTTATCAGCATTTATAGAAGTATAAAAGTTATAACAGTTCTTTGGAATTGATAAATCATTACACATTTTCTGCAGATCTTTATATTTAGCAATCGCAATTGGCAACTGCTTATCACAAGCTTTATTCAAGTCAACGTTTTTAGGGTCGCACATAACTTTTCATGCTGTTTATTTGTTGAAATTCATTTCCAAATTTTTTTTATTGGACATTGTCACCACTGCATCGGTTTTAATGTGTCGTAACCAGCAAACTTGTTGCCAGTGAATTTTGTTCACTTTATAGTTATATATTCCAAAGGATTTGAAATCAAAGATGTCATCAATCATTATGATTCTGACTTCAAAAGGATGTGGATGTATGTGTTCGAGTATTTCTTATCATCTTAACCCATTATCTGACAAATAATCAGGAACATATTTTGATTTGTCTGATTTTCGAGTTACATTACACTCCATCTCAGTATACCTGATTAAAAAAACTTGTGATAACTAGTTTTTAAGTTAGCGTCATCTGTAAGAAGTTTCAAGCTGATAGCAGCAAAATGTAAATTTTTTGTTGCTTGCCATTCCCGTTCGACATCATTCGAACCTCAGTAATGTTTGGTTGATTGATAATGTTATTGTAAATACATATGGATATCTCATTTGACTCCCTTTTTCCTTGGTTTCGTTCCAAAGGTAACAGATTCCATCCTAATTTCTTAAGTTGTAGACAGTCAGGTTTTAAATAGCCAATTTTCGTAGGTAAAATATTTGTCCTGTTGGACTCTTTGGAGTCGTAAGCACTGCTTCGAGGTCAAATTTAAATGACAGTCCCTCTGAATTATTCTTTGTCTTCATCTCAAGCCTCACGAGCTAATTGTTTCTTAGCATGTGTTTATGATAAGGTTGTATTTGTGTTTTTTTCCTCCTTTGTCATATTAGTATATTTTAAGCACTTTTTAACTGGTCCTTTTTGGGTTTATGGAACTCCAAGTTATAAGATCTTAACACTTATCGATACCTTTTGAAAAAAAACTGGATGGACATTTAATTCTGAGCATTTTGATTTGTACAATTTGAGAATCCAAATACTTTTGGTACTAGAGGCCCTACAATGAGACTTCACAGCTGGAAATGAAAGAATGTGTTCAGCAGTTCGACATCACCTTTCAATTTATTATGTGGGACATGTTTTCCATGTTATATAGGTGTTCATTTTTACACACAAAACTGAGATGTGTAGCTGAAACAAGACAATGCATGTAAAACAAATGTAAAATCCACACCGCCACAAACACGCAAGTGTTACTTTCGCGATATGCATGTCACAGATTTAGTACCTATGTGATGCACGCATTGCAAATGAACAATACAGACTGACTTTCGTTAAAGTGTACATTTCCTCCCCACCATCTCCTAGGAATAGAAATTATAGGAATGCCTGAGACATCATTAGTGATGTACTTAGGTGAACAAAGTAAAATTTGCACATTCGTGGGTGTGGCATTGCACCAACTATATTTTATGAACATTTTGCGGTCTAACAATCAGTTCAAGATAGATTGCTGCCTAGTTCAGGTTCTTCCGATTCATTTATTGCAAGGAATCAGTCTACATTAATTTTCTTTGGTTCTACAATTAGTTGGGTAATTTCATCTTCTATAATCTTCTTGTCTCCACTTGGCTTTCCAGTCCCTTAGTCCAAGCATCCTAAAATGATCAATTATCTGTTCCTCCCATCTCATTTGGGATCTGTTGGTGTACCGATGACTCTCCATTTGGTGATTTTCTTATAATGGCTTCTGGATATCCCCTTTCTAGATGTGCCATTGATCTGAGTTTTTGTGTCTTGATAAATCCAACAATTTACTTCCTTTTGATCAGCCATTTTTAAACTACCTAGGTTTATTGTGCCTGTTTTGTGTCTTTCTGTTTAAAGCTCATTGGTTCAGCACCATATTATTACTGATATAACTGCAGCTCCGTAAATTTTCAGTTTTGTGTTTTTAGTGAGCTGCTAACATTTGAATAAGTTCTTGAGTTTCCAGAAAGTTCTGTTTCCTACCAGAATGTATTAGTTCATTTCTATGCTTCTATCATTAATTTCTTTGACCAAAAGCCCTAGGTAATAAAGTGATGAACTGTTCCTAACACAGTCTCCAATCTTTATATCTGTTGTATTAACTGTATTTTTTCTGGAGCATATTAGATAATTTGTTTTACATATTTTGGTTTCTGGTTAAGTCTCTCTTGGATGATTGCTTTCATAAAATTGCAAATTTCTCTCATAACCATGCTGTTGGTGAGTTGCCTCATGTTACTCCAGTCATGTTTTTCATATCATCAAGTAGGTAACCTCTTATTGAATTTTCAAGTTTTTGCCTACATTAACAAGGAGTTTATGGCACTTTTGAAACATTGCCCCAAAATTTATATTGTTAAATTGTAAACAAAAAATGGAGATTAATGATCATCATCTAGAGATGTCAAGATGTAAAGGTAGCTGCCAATATGATTGTTAGTATGTCAGAATTCAGTAATTTTTTTCATATTATCTTGATTTTAGATACCTCAAATTACTTGTATTTCTACACTGCAATAATATCTCTCAAATAATTGTATAAAATGAACATCCATGGGAATGTAATTGTTGTTTGTTTAAAATAAAGACCACAATAAATCATTTTGTATATATTTGAAATGATAATTGAGTTGATTGTAAAAATGCTGTAGACCATTAAAAATTATAATGGAATTATTATAGTTTAAGCACTTACACTAGAATCTGCTTCAGAGTCACTATCTGAATCACTATTCTCATTATTTGGTTGGGTACTGCTAGGCTCAACATTTAATGCCGCAATATCCACTGTGCTTGGCAAATCTCTTTCTTCGGGCTCTTCAGCTGGTTGGTGGACAACCGATGACCACCCAGGAAACAATTCTGTACTGGTCCCATCGTTTGCAGCCATTGTGTATATCCTAAAAACAAGAATATGAGAATCAGAATAAACAAAACCAGGAAAACAGTTTCTAGGTATTTTTATTTAATTTCAGTTAATTTTAACTTCTTTAGTAATAAAAAATAATAAGCCCTTTTAACAACAATGTATATGGAATATGGATCTGCTTTCATGATAGGAAAAGAAACACACATAATAACATTTTATGAAGATAAGCAAGGAAAATATTACAGAAGGCCTAAATTCAGAAAATGATCAAATGGTATTATAAAATTTGTTTTGATTTATTTTTTAAAATTACCTAATATCAAAATGGATTTTCAAAAAAGAACTGTTTGGTTACATTTCAATATAATTTCCAATGAAAAAGCCAAGTGTAATATTTGTAAAAAAAATTATTCTTACAAAAATAGAAGTGTACAGATTTTTGAAAGGATATGAAAAATAAAGACCCCACTATAGACATAAATGATGACACAAGACGAGAAAGGAGGGAAATTGGGCAAACAGAAAATAAAAATATTGATCATATTCATGATCAACATCAAGCACTATTTGGAGTATCTGGTAAGTAAATTTTATTTATTCTAATTTTAAATTAATATGTAAGTTTTAATAGTATCTACTTTTTAAAAGGGAAAATACCAAATATGTTTTTGGGTTGTTATGTTGTTGGACATATTGTTAACCCTCCGTTACTCGCGCGGGGTGTTGTGAACACCCCATGCGTATATAACTGTTAATATTTTCTACGCAATAATATCATCGTCGCCGTGCGCCTGTGTAGCTGCATATTTTCGTCGTCTCTACCACCTGGAAGAATATGATCAGTGTACTGTTAGTCGTTGTCCCGTAAGCAAGTGCTTGGGGTGCTGCAAACACCCCGCGAGTAGTTAAGTTACATTTTGTTTATCGATATTTATTTTTTGCCAGTAAGTATATTTATTTTTTTTACACATATATGGTAGTCTGAAGATGTACTTTGTCTATATAATATTTCCAATCTTATTTTTAGGAAAAATGGGCGAATATGAGGCCGAACAAGCGCGATTACTCAAACTTTTTGATGAATGTACGAGCGATGATGAAATACCATCAGAAGAAAAATATCCTTCAGATGAAGAATTGACCCAAATACGAAGTGATTCTGAACCAGATAGTGAGCATGAAGTTATGAATGAATCTTCTAGTGACGAGGACTTGACAAGTGATGATGAACAAGAAGACGGAAATCGTTTTTATCTTGGAAAAGACAAAATAACTAAATGGTCAAAGGAAAAGAGTCGTGAGCAGGTGAGAACTAGAAGTCATAATCTAATTTCCCATCAACCAGGAACAATAAATATTGCCAGAAACTGTAAGTCTCTTATTGAATGTTTTAATTTGTTTATAACTGAAGACATAATCAAGGAAGTTACAGAAAGTACCAACATATTTATTAGTAAACTTTCAGCCAATTACAAACGTAAGAGGGACTGCAAAGAAACCAATGAGACAGAAATTCGTGCTTTAGTTGGATTACTAATATTATCTGGCATTTGTAAATCGAGCCATAGGAATATCAAAGATTTGTGGGATATTTCAAGGCTTGGAATTCAAACGTTTTACAAAACTATGAGTTGCAACCGTTTTTACTTTCTCATAAAATGTCTAAGGTTTGACAATATAAACACCCGCGAAGAAAGAATATTGCTGGACAAGTTTGCTCCCATTAGAAGTATTTATAATCAGTTCAATAATAATTGCCTCGCAAATTATTCGCTTAGCGAATTCGGCACCATTGACGAACAACTTTTAAATTTTAGGGGTAGATGCTCTTTTCGACAGTATCTACCAAACAAGCCGGCACGATATGGTCTTAAATTTTTCGCTATATGTGATTCCAAGACATTTTATACTTTATAATTTGAACCTTATATTGGAAAGCAGCCAGATGGTCCTTTCCAAGTTAGCTATAAGCCCATTGATATTTTGCAGCGTTTGTGTCGTACACTCTTCGGTTTAGGAAGAAACATCACAACGGACAACTGGTATACCAGCATACCATTAGCAGAAACATTACTGTCTCATAAATTATCGTTAGTGGGTACAATCAGAAAAAACAAAAAAGAGATACCACCATGCTTTGTCACTAATAAGGTTCCTGGGCAATCTCTATTCGGATTCCATCAAAAATACCAATGACTCTCGTTTCATATTGCCCAAAGCAAAATAAAAATGTAATTTTATTATCAACTATGCACATAAATGACAATACTGTAGTTGAAGTTTCTCCAAATGTGAATAAGCCTGACATAATATTATTTTATAATAAAACCAAGAGTGAGGTTGATAGTGTAGACCAAAAATGCCAGACATATAATGTATCAAGAACTTGTCATCGTCGGCCCTTGAGGATATTTTATCATTTGTTAAATACAGCTGCAATTAATTCCCACATCGTTTATTTCTCTAATAATCCTACTAAAAAAATTCCCAGATCGAAGTTTCTAGAAGAGATTGGATTTACTCTGGTACAACCACAGATGGAAGCTAGGTCACAAATACAATCTATTCCAAACTCTTTGAAAAGAGTCCTTGGTAATGCAGGAACAAACAATGATAATGTACCTATAAAAAAGGCAAGATGCACTATATGTCCACGAGCAAAAGACATTAAATGTAAGAGTGGTTGCAAAAATTGCAATAAAAATATGTGCCTAAGCCATATGAACACAATATGTGATGCATGCTACCGAGGCCAGTAAATTTATTCTGTTTGTTTATTGTTCTTTATATATAATAAAAAAATTTTTGCTTTCACCTTTTTTACTTTATTTTTATTTTTGCTCAGTTGTGTGCAATTTTATTCCTAAAATCTTTGTTTATAAAATTCAGCGACTACACATCTAGATTGCAATGTTTGCTGAAATAAATAGTTTTATTTTGTGACAAACTTTTAATATTATATACCTGAAATATAAAAATAGTTTGGATTTTATTACTTTAAGCAAAAAGTAAGATAAAATAATGGGGTGCTGCAGACACCCCGCGAGTTGACACGTTCCTGAAATAGGCGCGAGTAACGGAGGGTTAATAGTAAGTTTTTTATTTTATTTTTAGGCCCATCAACATTAGAATTACAGTTATGGAACTGCATTCTATTGAAACAGAAAACAAGAGACCATCAGTGCGTACTAGAAACAGTCAAGTTTACTGTGATTTATTTCAAAGTCAATTTCTTTATCACTACAAAAAACAATCAATGATTTTGTATTGGATATGATTTTAACCAATTTACAGCCATTTTCAATTGTATCAGATCTTGGATTTCAAAAGCTTGTAAATGAATTAGAACCATCATATGTATTACCTAGCAGGGCTACTTTCAGCCAATCTCTTATGCCTGCAAAATTTGACGAAAAATGTCAAAAACTGAAGCAACTCCTGGAAACTGCTGAACATGTCATGATGAGTACTGATGGCTGGACCACTATCAACATAGAAGGCTACATGGTAGTGGCAGCCTATTTCATAATGAAAGACTGGAAATTTTATCAATGTTTACTTTAGTGTTTCAACTATAAGGAAATGAGTACTGCAGGAAATAAAATAGGGAATTAATAAAAACGACTTACTGATGAATGAAATGTCTCATTGAAAATACATGCAATTAGTAAAGACAATGCAGCAAATGTAGCAGCTACTAGACTGATCTAATGGGATCACATTCCTTGTCTCACCCATAGAATAAATTTAAATGTTAGAGATACATTAAAAAATATGGAAGACTTGCAGAAAAAATCAAAAAATTTAAGATTTTTTTCACTGAAGTTTGAACATAACTGCTAAACTCATAGATACTCAAAATCAAATGAAACCTGACAGAACCTGATAGAAGATGATTAATGATGTGACAACAAGGTGGAACTCAACATAATGCTATATGTTTGAGATACTAGTTACATTATCTGAACCTTTGTCTTGCCCAATTCCATAAATCTTCCAACTGAAAAAGAATGGATGATATTTAAATGGCAAAAGTTATTCCAATCTTCAAAAAGAATGACCCTCATGATATTTCAAATTATAGACCAGTATCTGTACCTGACGTAATTTCCAAATAGAGAAGTTTGTATACAGCAGAATGTTACAATTTTATAGAAGAATACAATTTATTAACTCAAAACCAACACAGCTTCAGAAAAAAAGTCAACACTAATGGCTGCATGCAGCTTGTTTGAGCGTATTTATGATGAATTAGATAGTAGAAACCATGTGGCAGGACTATTTTTTTATATATCAAGAGCTTTTGAATGCTTAGACATAACATTTACTCTCAATAAATTATATAACATTGGTTTTAGAGGGATATTTCTAGAATGGATAATAAATTTCTTAAATGACAAGAAGACTTTTGTTAAAATGAAAGAATCAAGCTCAGGACCATAATGACAAATAAAGGAATACCATGGGGTTCGTGCTGGGACCATTATTATCCCTAATTTTTATTAATGACTTACCAGATCCCATAAGGGCACTTATAATATCAATGTTTGCTGATGAAACCTAGTTAACAGTCTCTGCACATACACTCGAGGAATTAAAAATGACAATGAAGACTGTTGTTGACTGCTTTAATAAAAGGGATAATATTATCCCTCCAGATACTGACTAAAGAATGTAGCATAGAATCTTTAAAGTGATTTTAAACTGTTTGTCCTCGTTTTAGTGTAGTGTTTTGTACAATTTTATGTTATTATCAATGTTTCCACATTCTACACTTGCCAGATAGTTTATATTTTGATTAAATGCCCCTGAAGATGCTATTTTAAGCGAAAGTACTTGGGCTAATTTAATTAACTTGTGCTCAATAATAGCCTTATTTTTCAAAGTTTATTAGAATTTTTTTTAGCAATTACCCATTGATAGATTAGGGGATAGATTTCGCAATAGTCAAATCAGCAGTTGCCAGATTACAACAGATGTTTGCAATTATACTTGAAAGAGACACATATCTACTCGTTATTACTTCATATAAATTAAAAATTGCAGAATTCATAAAATAGTATAATCGAAATGTACTTCTTAAAAGCTTTATCTCTTTATATTTGAAGCATACAACATATATATAAAAACATGCCAAACACTGCTAAACCAAAATATTTTTGACATTTGCAGCTATGTTCAGTTTGTACTTTCGGTAAACTCAACTCTTTCAAACACTAGAAGCGAATATATTTCTTTATATTTGGTTTTATTAAATAAATGACACTTAATTCATGATCCCAGAAAAACGAATCATTTTTTTTATTAACACAATCCAATAATGCAAGAATAGTACAGAACAAAAGAAAAAAAAGGCCAGTCATTAATATGCATTACAATTCTGCACAGCAAAAACAAAAAAATAACAGACCAAACAAACAAAATAAGTTTAAGTGTGTAAGGTTAATTTTTTCTTACCTCTTTAAAACCTTTAAACAAAATGCTTTCTAATTTTTATATGAAGACTATAATTTCACTTAATATAGTGTAGTATAAATTTCTCATGTTACTGGCTACAATGTAATTAGTTTTTACAACCA